ATATGATCTAGTATAAGCAAAAAATACTAAAGTTACGGAAATTAGTCATATTATTAGTAAAATGTTACATTTACATTTACAACTCGAAAAATAATCGATTTATCGTTTTCATGAAAATCGATTTATTTGTTATAATTAATCGATTATCTTTAATAGATTATTTTTGATTAATCGAACATTTTTAATAAATTTTTTTCGTTTTTTTAGCTAATGAAATAATCGATTATAAAGGAATTACAAAAAGAGAGTAGATTTATTCAAAATATTCGATTTATTGAAAATAATCGATTTTTTAGAAAAATCGATTTATTGTTTAATAGACTTTTTAAATTAATCGATTATTTTCGATTAATCGATTATTTTATATTAATCGATTATTTTCGATTTTTCAAAGGTATTCAAATAATTTGTTTTAAAATACAAAAAATAGATTATATAAAAATAATCGATTGATCGAATATAATCGGTTATATTATATAATCGATATTTCGGTTATTTTTTAGAATTATTGATTTATCGGTAAATCAGCTTTTTATTAATCAATTATTTTCGATTTTTCAAAGAAAATTAAATAATCAGTTTTAAAAGGAATATAAAAAAAGAAAAGGATTATTTGTAAATAATCAATAATTATTCAGTTTTTTTTTTTTGAAAATCGATTTATCGTAGAATCTTCTTAATTAATTGGTTATTTTCCGTTAATCGATTATTTTCGATGTTTCAAAAATGATCGAATAATTGATTTTAAAGGAAATAATTCTTTTTTTTTTTTTTTGAAAAATCGATTTATCGATTATTCGACTTTTTAATTAATCGATTATTTTAGATTTTTCAAAGATTATCGAATAATGTTTCAATGGAAATACGAAAAAAAAATAGAAATTAAAAATAATCGATTATTTAAAATAAACAATAATTCGTTTATTATTTTTTGTAAACACTGATTTATCGGTTAATTGGCTTTTTAATTAATCTATTTTTTTTTATTTTTTAAAGATAATCAGTAGTCAATTTTAAAGGAAATACGAACAAAAATAGATTGTTTGAAAATAATCGATTGATCTAAAATAATCGATTATTATTAATGATCAATAATTTATTTCGATAATCACCCACTCCTAGCGACCAAATGACTTTTAATAGGTTTAAATTTTAAAATGTTATCTGGTTTCAGACATATACATTTTATGTGACGCATCCTTTATATTAATTAATATTCCTAAAGAAACAAGCTTTAATATATCTTTTTCTGAGGTTATAATACAAAACAGCATTTTCTCATTTTGACTAAATTTTAATATTATGTGATAGTCGTAGAAAAAATATAATGCTCAACTCACAAGGTTTGATTTGCAGTATTCGCCTGCGCACATGCTTTTTTATAATACTCTTAGACAATGAGTACCATTTCTTACTCGATTAACAATATTCTATTTCAACATTTTACTGTAGTCTCTTACAGAAAAGTCCATAGTAAATAATAGCTAACGAAATATTCTATTAAAGGTCTTCTCTTTACATAAAATGTCGTGGCATCTGTTTGATATTAAAAAATCACGTTAAATTTATTTCATAATACAAAATTCCATTAAACGTATATTTTAAATAAATCTAATAGTTCATTATGATGCTAATAAACAAAGTCCGGTCCCTGTCACAGAGTTCGAGTCCCTGCCCAGTTCCCCCACTCCGTTAACCTTTCTTTAGAAATTGACAACATTTGCGCAGGTTAAACACCGGTGTATGTTATATCTCTGGTCTCTTTTATCTAAGGTTTTAAGATACCCAGGGATGTCCACGGCCACAAAACACTCACTTTCGTAGCCAGCGATAGCCGTTATGGCTGCCTTGTGCAGCATAGCACCGCATAGCACATCCCGGGCGATAAGTGTGGTGCAGCTATGAAGAAAGCCACAAAATAAGTGCAAGTGGCATAAGTGCAGTGGCACATGCAAGGCTGCCCTAACCACAGGGCTAAATAAGCATTGTATGGAGTGTAGAGGATAGGAGAACAATCTCATATGGTTGTTTTCTCAAAAAGTGTCCCCCAAAATGTATAAAATTAAGATGGCGCTCGGGTACTAGAAGAGAAAGATTCGATGATATATAGTTATATAGATAGCTTAACCATATGTAAATCAGACGACGAGAAGCACTATTGTCATCTATTGTCAACATTTCTCTACGATTATAAGTTCAGTCGCTTTTCACGATGGCTTTTCTTTTTAGTTTTCAGGCTAAACCCTTCGAACATATATATCCTTACCTCTATAGTCCATACTATTAAGACTAAAGAGGAGGCGAATGGTCAAATTTCAAAATTCCGCTTTTTTTTTATAAAATTCGCCAAACTGACTGTAATTGGCAGGTCGAACGTCAGTGCCGTTAATTTTCTATATCAATGTGAACTTAAGTATTTTTTGTGAAAAAAATACCTGAGTATAAGTAACATGAGTAACAACAAACATCAAAGCAAGATCTACTTCGTTCGAAATTGTAAAACGGGATATAAATCAGATGTAAAACTAAAGAAAACACAAAGAGAAATCAATTCAAAGTCTTTTTAAAGCTCCTAGTGTAAGTTAAATAATGTATTTATTTCTAAATATATTATTTATTGTAAACTAGTCACAACCAGTATCTTACTTGGTTTAGTTTATTTTATTACAAATTTCTATAATATATAATTTTACAGTCATCAATCCTGACTTCCACAATAATTACACATTAAATTTAACTTACTAAGAAACAAAATTGTTTTTTTCACAGTTATAATGTTAAATGAAGAGTTATTACTGTTATTTCAAAAAAAAATTGCCACAAAATGGTACTTTTTAATTTAGTCATACCTGCCTAATTTGCATTTTATATAGATAAAATTAAATAAGTTATCAATTAAAACATACAAGATCTATTTAGAAATAAATAAAACAGTATATTCTGTGCTTTATTTAACAATAAACAAGTTTATTTTTATTAGTTTCACAGAAATATGTAAAATTCTCATAAAAAGCCATGTATTTTTAACAGCGCTAGCAACACCAGCGCCCCTGCGGTGAATCGTAAAATCTCAAATAGTGTTCGTTTTTGGGACCGTATTTCGAGTCCATACCAATTTTTATTGGTGTTATTTATTTAGTTATTAGTCGAGACGTTCATTTCCAAACCTCTTTAGATCCATATTAAACAATTTTACAGGAGAAGCGTAAAACGCCTACTAATCATTCAAATCAAATTCTCATTGTTTAAATTTTACATTCCACATTTAGACTTGTCTCTTATTAGATATTTATTACGAAATAGTGAAGTTGAGTAGGGAAAAAATATTTATTTGCATGAATAATATGGAACGAAAGAGTTTTGCTACCGCAAGTACCGCACTATGGTTTCATTATCTTTTTTAAGCCATGAAAAAATAAATACACAGAAGAAACTAATAGCGTTTTCGATTCCAGTGCTCGGCTTGCTCTGAGCTAGAGCATACGAAAGGTTGGAGATATGTCTATACCAGTTAATTTTCACTCTAAAAAGTAACCTGTATCGATATATCGCTCATCTTTTATGTGCACTCCTCGTAGGCAGGCCAGTAGAATCGAAAACGCTATAAATTTTAAGACCATCTTCTTCTTCGTTAAGCACAATCGCTTCAAACTCTTCACCATCAGAATCACTGAGTTTGTCAACGATTTTTTGATAAAAGATCAGTTCAACACTTGGAAGATCTCTTCAATTTGGACCATAATATTTATTAAGGAATAAGAAAGTTTTGCTACCGTCATCAAACTTTTACATTTAATATCTTAAGGCCGATTCCACCGTTGTGTTAAACGAAGTTTAAATTACTAAGCCAAGATTAAAATGACACTGTTAATGTAAAATGTCATTTTAAACTTCGCTTAGTAATTTAAACTTCTTTTAAAAAGTGTCGTAGTCATTTTTATTGAAAATATTTTTAAGAGAATGTTCTAAATGAAATAGAATATATTATATGATCCATTGTGGTTTTATTTAATTATTGAAAAAAGAACCATACAAAGGTCTCAACCCCGATTAGAAATACAGTGAAAAATATCGGACCATGAAAATTCTGCCCTACGTAATGAAAATACCCGTATACTTGTTAACCGATATACAGAAAAATGTGAATACTTCAAAAAATTATTCATTTATATTAATGGAAAAAATACAATTACTGGAAAAATATTTTAGAACGTATTATTAATCAATTAGCAACAAAACAAAAAGAGGAAAACAAAATATTTACGTTTATTTTTATTTACTTTAAAGTTTGTTTTTGTTTATATATTGTTTTTTTAATTTTGTTGTTTAGTGTAATGGTAATACATTGACTTTTTGTAGTTTTGGCACTATTGTACACCTTTTCCGGTTGCCCCACCTCTTTCTCGCTAACCATCCCCTGACGGGCGTCAAATATCTTAGGACAGCCCTGGGGGGCTATTTTCAAAGTATGGGAGCAGTCATTTCTCTCAAGATTCTCATCAGAAATGTCATATGTCAATGTGGAAACGCTGTTTTTAAAGGCATCGGGGATTAAAATTCTTAGGAGAATTTTAATTATCTCTAAATAAACCGAGAGAAACAGTCAGTGAGTTCACACTAGCCCTAAGAGCCCTAAAAATACTAGTTTTTTATTGACGTATGACATTTCTCTTGAGAGAAATGAATTCTCTCGAGTTTGAAAATAGCCCCCCAGGGCACATGCACAAAATGCAAGGTAATCCTTCCTCCATGTAGAAATATTTGTGCACTTGCATAGACAGAGGCCGTCTACTGTCTGATTTTCTTCTTTATTTCTTCTATTTATACAAATTACTAGTGACATAATGGCCTTTTTTGTCAATGCTTAAATTTGACATATCTCCTTTATAATTATAATTAATTATAAATATTTTATTTTCCTTCTTGGTACCTTCCAGCACTGAGACTTTGATGAAAATTTAAATGATAAAAATTGGAAAACGAATTATTTTGTATTGAACATGGAGAGCTTACCTGAACAAGAAGATAAAGATCCTCCTAAAGCTGCAATAGTGAACAAACCAGTCAAACAACCTGAAAATCCATTCAAGAAACCTATTTTATTTGGTAAAATAGGTAGATTGCCTAAAAAACTATCCCCTAAAGAAGCTGAAAGTATCGATACATCTGAGATAAACAGTACAGTGTCAGATAAAATAGGAGACACTATTAAATATGAGTCAAATGTGCAACCAAACTGTTTAAAAGGTAGTGTAGTATTTATACAAATAAATAAAAGTTCCTTGGTTGTATCGGCCACACAAAGCACTATATATGTTTCGGAAAACAATTTCTTCTATTATCTGGTGTCAATATTATAATTTTAAAAACATGGAGGCATCCTGTGTAGTATTTATGTTTATATATTTACCTTTTTTTATTTTGAAGATCCACCAGTAGCTGCTCAACAGTTATCTGAAAATGCAGTACTGTTACCTTACATAGAACCGGATTGGTCTGGTTTGCCTGAGAGCAAAAGCAGAGACTTCATTTTTGAAGTGTTAAAAAATGGAGCTATAATAGAAACTATTAATTTAATGGCTAAACCCTTTTGGTTATTTGGTCGACTTGCCAATTGTGATGTTTGCATGCAACATCCAACAATTTCAAGGTTTGTAAATTATACACTTTATGATGAATAGTGAACTTAAGACTTTTTCAAATTGACAAATAAATATGTGCTCATGACACTATTTTATCCCTGAAAATCAATACATCAGATCACGTAATAAGACTTAAAACAAGCAGAGCCAAACTTCTCTATATTTTTAAAATGACCTTTAACTGGTTACTCAAAATTTTATCTATGCATGACAGCAGACTCCCAAAAATTTGGTTCTTCCTGCAGAAGTGCATGTTAAACTATCTGGAGCAATTTAACTTAATTTATTAATACTTGCACTATTGGGAATACTATGTGACTGAAACAAAATTAAAAAACTATTGTCCCAATTTTATAATGATTTAGCAATGGCCCAAAGATCCTCTTTCCGTATAGCCCAAAAATTATCTTACCCTAAAACTTCCTATTCAGATTATTCACACTATAGCCCATCCAAGACTGAGTAATAAATATAAGTTGAAGTTCACTTTAAGGGGGGAGGGGGGTAAGGTTAATTTGTGCAAAAAAGGTACATTTTTGTGACTCTCCTAACTCGGTGCTGGATCATCAGAAATAAAAAATCAAAGTTCTTTCATTCGGAAATCGTTTTTCCCATTTAACACTGGGTTTTTCGAAATTTCAATTTTTCACTTTTTTTGGAACATTTTGAAGAAAAAACGCGATTCTTGCGAAAAAAATAGGCTAATTTGTTATTATAAAATAAAAAAATATTAACAAATTTGAAAAAACTCTCCAGCTTTAGGTACCTCATAAATTATGTACAGAAATAGTGTTCAAAATTTCAAAAGGATAGATGCAGTAGTTTTGAAGTTATGAGGGGCATCGACTTTGGAAATGTGAGTTGTGGGAAAAACGTTCTAAAGTTTTGAACACTAAAAAATTTGGCTTAAAACTTCTATAAACGAGTTTTATCGGCTTATCTGACACTAAATCATCTATGCCAGGTCCATAAAGGATGTTGCTATCATCCATGATGTCCAAAGCATCTTTTTGATCCTGTCTACGACGAATTCTCATTCATGAACGCTTGATTCACTACTGATTTTCATGTCTTGCATGGAGGTTAGTAAAGCAAAAGAACCTGCCTGGTCATTGATACACTAAATTATATACAGTACAGGTATAAACACGTTTGTAATTGTGTTGAAATTTCTATAAAGAAAGGTAGGAGGTAAGGTTAGGAATTATATAGAGAGCAAAACAGCTGCCAGGTAACAATAGCTCGCGCGGGCCAGGCAGATGTTTTCTGATGAGCTGAGTCGTGTATGAGGCGCGGTTACTCAAATCGCTGTGTCTTAGTTATTTTTGCTCTTATTCATCTCAAATTTTCACACAATATTCTTGAAAGGTTCTCCATTCACAAAATCATATATATAAAAATGCAAAAAAAAAGTTTAAAACTTTAACCCCCCTTCCTTAGTGGATTGTCTGTCATACATAATATATTCTAGAGAAATTTGTAAAACTTGTAGTAAAAATTAAGATGAGTACATTCACCACGTTTTGTTTGGTTGTCCACTTATAATGTCCTGACACCCAAAAGTTATAATTATCTATCAGATTTAAACACTTATTTACTTTTTGGATAATATGATGATCCATTCAGCTAAGACTATTGCAACTTTTGTATGGACTGTTCTAAAACTTGGATCATTTATAATAAATGAATAACTTAAACAAAGCCAGTATGATAATCAACATTTTTTAATTGTATTTTATAAAACTGTTATATTTGTGAATGAATTAAATAATATTAAATAGGTATGTTTTTTTATGTCAAACTCCTGCTATCAAATGATATAACAATAAATATATTATGATTAACTATAAAAAATTCGTTCCTTCCTATCAAATATTAATGAATTATTTAATGTTAATGTTTATATTCAACCATTTTTGTTGTAATAATAAATAAAACAAACAGAATTAAAATAGCACATTTATGACAAACAGTTTAAAATTATATTTCAGGTACCATGCAGTTCTACAGTACAGACAGAAACCATCAAAGACGGAAGGACCTGGTTTTTACATTTATGATTTAGATAGCACACATGGTACATTCTTGAATAAAAACAGACTTAAACCAAAAGTATTTGTTAGAATACAGGTGAGTTTCATTCAAAGTTGGAACCATTGGGCTCACTGACATTGTCACCGTTACCTTGAAAAAGAAATATATTATGCATTTAACCTTAAATAATACAAAAACTGTATAATTTTGTAGTTTACGGTCCTTGTAATGCGCATGTCTGCACCACTCTACACTCTTCAATTTAAATTAATTCATTACCAGCAAAAAACGAAAAAATCCATCGATAAGAAACATTATTTTGAATTTGACAAGTTATAGGACATCTCGCACCACTGGGACATAGTATACATTGTTCACTCCCCCTTTCGTGAATCCTGAATACAAATAGCAAGCAAAAAACTTGACTATAAACACTATCTATGTAGTAATTTTTAGAAAATATTCTGAAATTACTTATTTGATTTGTAATGGATCTAAAAAAATTATGAGTAAAATAGTAATTTCAAGTGAGCCGGAATCGAAGTGATAAGAACATGCGCATTTAAATACGGTAAACTATAAGATTACCAAAAAAACTTTTAATTTGGTGCAAATATTAATGGCTCAACTTTCCTTTAGCAGAAATCAGTTATTCAAAAACTGTTACGGCAACAATTGTGCTGGTAATGAGTATACAAAAATCCAAATCACCTGCCGAGGAAATGCGTATTTGTCAAGTTATAGATGATTTAATGCGGTAGTTCAGTGTGATGTCATTTTGGTTCCACTGACATTTAATTCTAACCAAACTTTTAACAAAAACATCAATAAATTTGACATATACGTTTTTACTGTTTTTATTTTATTTGAAAATATTGTTTACAGGTCATAAAAAATAGTTTAAAGGTATGTAATTAGTAACTAAACGATTGTATATTTGATACATGCTATCTACTTACGTTAGGAATATATTTATAAAAGTGGAAAAAACGATATAATTTAGGTAAACAAAACGAACAAAACGCACTCAAAAAATCTACTGTCACCTTAATTGTCAGTGGAACCATAATTACATCATCACTGAACTAGTGCATTTAACTTTAGTTTAGCTGAAACTGTTGCCATGACGATGCCTGTTGTGGATATGCATAGTTGCCCAGTTATAGATGATTTAATTTAACTTTAGTATATCATAAATCATTTATGCGCAGATTTCGAAACGTCTATTTTTATAATATTAAAAGTAAATTTAAATCTAATATTGACATAAATGCATAACGTTTGTGAATATATTAGTTTTAAAATCCATGCATAAATTATTTAAGTCAAATTAAATCATCTATACCTTTGGCAACTGTGCATTTCCTGACATCAGAATTTAGTCATTACCATGCTCATTTCTTTACCATGAAATAATTTGTGTTTACTAGTTATCTTAACAATGGTTATTATGACATTTACAGCTTATTGAAAGTTTACCGTAAACCATGATCTACTTATTTTTTTGCAATATTTTACACTTTTCAGGCATATCTTATAGTTAAAGTGTTTTTACCTAAAATATTTAAGGAGCTATAACCACCAGAATCGATTCTCTGCAAAGCATTAATGACTTTGTCAAACGCCTCTTCATAACTTTCAGTCACATGTTGTTGCTTCTCTCTTTGACTCGTCATTTTCATTTGTAAATTATCGATTTTATGGCGAAGCTCTTCCATGTACCTACCCATATCTTCGTTTGATTCATTTTTGAGTTTGGCAGCTTCTGTTGGTGGGTCAAGACGTTTTTGTAAATCGATAACGTTTTTCTGATATGAGAATTTGATGTTTTCAATATTGTTTTTTATTTTGGATAAATATTCTGAACTTGAGTTTAATCGTTGCTTTAAAACCTGGAATTACAGAACTATTGATCAGTTGTTATTGTTTTTAAACAAATAAATTATATATATATATATATATATTGAACTATTGGTGTAGTAAATGTAAATAAAATGGAATCACAACTAATAATTTGTTACCTATTACGAAATACAAGTTCTTTTTATGTGCTTAACATTCATATAAAAAATGTGATCTATTAATAATTATATTCTGTCAATTCCTGCTCTGTAATTGGGTTTATGACCTGTAGAGTATTGTATTATAAATAAATAAATAATACCAAGAATTGGTCTTCTAATTCCTTGTTTTTTTCTTTGGCCACTAACTTCATCGCTTCCGTCTTTTGAAATATCTCCTGGATTTGCTTCAAAGATTTTTGAGATGAACTTTCTCCATTGATATCTCCGATATATTCAATTTCTACAGTGTCTACTCCTTCATCGCATTCTTTTTCGTCAGAAGATTGTTTGACTTCATTGAGATGTTCTTTAAGTTCTTTTTCTGTGGCAGTATCCATTATTATGTGCAATTTTGAATGTAACACTCACAAAAACTAAAAATGTTTGTTGGATTTCCTTAGATGTTGACAGGTGTCATGTTTGATCAATGTTGCCTTGGAAAAGGCATTTCCACCAGATATAAAGTTTGATAAAAATGAATACAGAGTGTTTTTAAAACGTTATAAAATAATAGTTACTGTGAATTAAAAGAAAAATATTATGCTTTGCAGCTTGAGACAAAAATTTCTGGAAAAAGCGGCAATGAATTGCGTGAAAAATTATTTCTAGGTACACATTATTTTAAAAAATTGATATATTTAAGAAAATTATTAAAAAGGAGTTAATATTGGAAGCCAATCTTAAAGAGATAATAAAAAAGACAATTGATTTAATATTCAAAACATTTAACGATTTTATGACTAAATACTTACTGATTAAATTGAAATTCATTTATTGTAAATAGCTATTCATTATTAATTATTCTCGCAATATCTATTTATGCAACCAGTTACGTAATGCCTTATTTTATGTAATGAGTGAATACTTCCGAACGAGCAGAGATATTTAAAAAATTATATTTTGGTAGAACATCTAGGCAACCAACATTACTTTCTTGTATTATTAGTTGCATATGCATCATATTATTGACATATAGAACATCATGATATTAATTATTTATTCTCAATGACTTATAATGTGTTTATATTGGAGTTCCCTTCCCATTGCCATTATCCCCAAATTTTTACGAGTAATACATTAAACATTGATTGCACCAGGGAGTCCAAGTCGAAAAAGGCCAAGGAGGGTCTGACAAGAACACTTTATACTTCTTTGGGGATCAATTGCTAATTTTAAGATACATTCCAAAAGTACCAAAAAGATATCTGTTTTATTTACTTGCATTATTCATTTTTATTTTTAGGTTGGCCACCTGTTAAAATTAGGTTGTAGTACACGTTCATACATATTAAACGGTCCGGAATATGATGAAGAAGAGGAATCGGAATTATCTGTTACCGAATTAAAACAAAAACGACAGGATGAAATACTTAAACGTGCAGAAGAAAAGCTGAAGATAGAAAAGGAACTCGAAGAAAAGAAAAAGAAGGAAGAAGAGAGAGGCGTAGATTGGGGATTGGGTAAGTAGATACAAATTCGTGCGCAAAACACTACTAGTTAAAATAAATTATATTTCCTAGGTGAGGATGCTGATGAAGAGACTGATTTATCTGAAAATCCCTATGCTCAAACCAATAATGAAGAATTGTATTTAGATGATCCTAAAAAAGCTTTGAGAGGATTCTTCGAAAGAGAAGGTTTAGATCTTGAATATGACTGCAATGAACAAGGTATTTTTTATTTTATATTCATCCAAAAACTAAACGTATTATATTAAATACCACATTTAAAATTAGGTATCGGGCAGTTCCTCTGCAGAGTTGAATTACCAGTAGACGACGAAATGGGACGACCAATAGTGGCTGAAGTACTTCATAAAGGCAAGAAGAAAGAGGCCGTTATACAGTGCGCTTTAGAAGCTTGTAGAATCTTGGACAGATATGGGATGCTTCGTCAGGCTACACATGGTATGTGAATTTTTAATGGGAAATTCTCATTTTTTTTATATTTCTGAAATTGGTAAATATTTACGATTTAAAAAAATATGTTTTAGTCATAAATTTAAACTTTGATACAAATATCTAAAACGGTGTCATTTCTAGGGACATAATTGGAACATATATGAGTTTTTTTGCAATATTTTGTGTACTTGTATTTATGGTATTTTGTTGTTTAAGAATCTCGTAAAAGAAAGGCCAAAAATTGGGAGGAAAATGATTTCTACGATAGTGACGAGGACACATTTTTTGACAGAACCGGAACCATTGAGAAGAAACGTGAAAAAAGAATGAACACTAAAGCAACTCAAAAAGTCGAAACCTATGAGAGTCTGGTAAGAATTCAATTTGATAAAAAATCATCTCTCTTATACGAGAACAGTTGCTAAAATTTTGGGAAAATGTATTGAATTTATTTTAATATTAATTTTGTGTTATTACGTTCCTAGTTTGATCTATGGCAACGATACCCAGTATCTAATTGAGGGGACTCTTCTAAAACTATATAGTATGTTAAATTTCCAACACTGACTTTAGGAGGACCGTACAGAAAAACCACACTATGGAATAGAGAGAAGTAGAACAATAAACGCTATCCCACTACCGTTAGAACGCCGATTGTGGACCACAATATCCATCGAAAGAGTGTATTACTTACTCTCTTGATTCTTCTCACATCCAAAGATAATTAAGTATCTAATCTTTATTTTGCCTGATGCGTTGGTTAACATACTCTATAACCATTAAATAGTAAAAGGGTATAATTTAAGGACCTTTTAAGGTTAACTACTTGTTTTGATTTGTTTTTATGCTAATTATACAATAAGTATTTATAAAACACATACTTTTTATTAATATATTAAGTTAAATCCATGTCCAGATTCCCGAATTTTTAGCACTAGTCCCCGATTGATCTAATTCTGTTTTCAAATTTATTTTACTTGTATATCTTTATAGAACGAAAAAGAAAAATCGATTTCGAAGCAAATTTCCGAACTGGAAGCCCAACTAGCCTCATATCAAACTAAAGGCGACGGAAATGGTCGTGAAACCGAAGAAGAAGACTCCTTGGATACCTACATGGAAAGACTTAAAGATACAAAGACAGACAAAAAAGCAATTTCAAGTTTAAAAATGGAATTAGCCCATCTCAGAATCGAACACGCCAAAGTTATCAGATTGGTAAATATCGCAAAACCGGCAAATCTACCTGCACTTGAAAAGCCTCATTCAAGTACGAATACAGACACTAAACCGAAACATCTTTTTAATACATTATGTTTCGGTAAGCAAAAAGTGACTAAATTCGTGTTTGACAGATCTAAAAAAGATGACGTAGTTCCGAATGATATGGATGATGAAGAAGAAGACGCAGAGACAGTTGAAGAAAAAGTAGAAGAGAAAATGGAAGAAGAAACTAAAATGGAAGAAACGAAGGTCACAGAAAACCAAGAAAATACAAATGCAGACGATGATGTTCGAAATCAAAATGTATCTGAAGAAAATCTATCTACTACTAGTCACGAGAGAGATGATTTGAGCTCTTCTCTTTCTTCATCGCAACTATTTGCAAATGAGTGTTTAAAAATCTTACAGGATGATTCAATGAGTTACGAGAAACTTGAAAGTATTTGGGGGAAAAATCTTGTTCATGCTGGTAAGCTAATATTCATTCACTTTTGATTTTAAGTCTGGTTTGACCAGCAGAATCAAATGTCGTCCACAGTGTAAAGACGTAAAAAAATGAGCCAAACAAAGTCGTTTATAGACTAAATACCTAGTTTTTTAAGTCATATTTTCAAAGTAAATAGATAAAAGAGGTTAGGTGTCAAACTTACATTTTATTTTTCAAAGATTATATTCATCTAAAAGCAAACCACTGATATAATTATAGAAATAAATTAGTTACAAATCTTTAAACTAATTTTTGACGACCTACAATGTGTATTAAAAAAACCCAGTATAAAATATCAAACTATGACAGAATGGTTCGTTTTTGTTTGGCTCACTTTCGTCAGACTAACGTGTCATATTAATGATCAATTTTTCCAGGTAAATATAAAGAAAACATTGAAAAAATCGTGGATACTTTGAAAAAATTAGCCACGAACGGGGATCGCATGAACTTAGATTTTAAAATATTATCCGCCAAAATGAAGAAAATATTGAAATTGATGTTGGACATGGAGCGTGAAGATCGCGACAGTAATTTAGAACACCGAATATCTTCAGAACTCAAAAGATTGATTTCAGAAATAAGTTCGATAAAGGAACAGAAATGCAAAGATAGGGAAACTGTTAAAAAAGTTGTGAACGAAGTACAAAACGTTACCGCGGCTATTTTAAAAGACTTACGTGTACCTCAATTTGAAGATGAAGAAATGTCGTCACCTGTTCGGTTGGAAGATGGAATAGATGTAATATCCGCCGCGTCTGAAAGTGTCAATACTAATATATCACCTGTCGATGTTTTACCTGAGAATAATAGTTCAAATGTCGTAGGCAGTAGTAGCAATAATTTAGACGAAAATAAAAAGAAGAAGAAGAACCAACGCAGAATCCACCAAAAGCAGGAAAAGGTTGAACAAGAGCGACAAAAGGGCTATGTAGAAGACGCTTCCAGAGAAAACTATTGCATGTGGGTCCCCCCGAATGATCAATCAGGAGATGGCAAGACTAACTTGAACGACAAATACGGTTACTGAATATTTATATTTAAAAAATGATATTTAGTAGTTAGAGCATTTTTAACTAGATATTTAAATCGAGGTATTTGTTTGTTCTTTTTAATATTTTTAGAACTACAAGTTTTACTGTTTTTGTTACATAATATAAATAAATTATTTTGATAATACTGTTTTTTTTTATAAAGTTTAATCTTAATGAGGAAAACCCTAACAATAAATGAGGAGCTTTGGAGAAAATACAAATAAATCCACTTACCGCACCCAGGTACCTTAATAATTTATTAATTCCATTTATTAAATATAATATTGCATTCTTATTAAATTCAAAATCCTTCATTTAACGAAAAATCTCCCAGATAATTAAATCTTATTTGTGACACCTAATAAATAATATCTATAACCATGTCCGTAAGAGATCCAATTTTCGTGCAAGTGGGAACCCAGACTAAGAAACACCTGACACACTTATCTTAAGTGCGTTTGAATAGTAACGTTGTTTTCGTTACACAAAATTTTCCAGTCAAGTAATAAATCGGCCACCCATATTCGTTTTTCGCTGGGAACTAAGACGTTACAAAAAGCCATTAAAACTGGTATAAGAACTCTGACCCAAAGGAGCTCGGTTTATTCGTTTTTTATTAAGTATTCATTTTATTATTTTACATTCAAGCAATCGCTTTATTTGTATCCAGTCATATAGTCTGTACCTTTCCTAAAGACGTTTATCCTACAATACCTCCTATCCCCGAAGGTGTCAACGTCCTGTCGTCCTACTTCCCTACCTTTCTACGCTATCACTTCTAACACTACTTTAGTATTTCCTACCATTATATTTACCCCGACGCTCAACGTCCAGACGCCCTACCTTTCTACGTCTCGAACGCTGTCACAATCCGCTACATCTAAGTATTTCCTACCTTACATTCATTCCAACGTCCCATTGCTCTACTTTTCGACGCTTGCCGCCCCTAATTATTTTCTTCATAATATCCTGTCGACATCCTTCGTCACGTCCCACACCACCTAAATATTTCTACCGTATATCTGTCCCAATGCAGTACCGTATTAAATACCTTCCTCTCCACCTCGACGCAAGGTGACACTCAACGCTGCGACGTACCTAAATCGACGCCGTCACAACTTTGGATCGAATCCTGGTTTATTTTAATTAACATTATCACAACGTGGGTATATAAATTATCAATTAATTAACTAGAGGAAAAAGGCCAAATACAGTAAGTATAAACACTAAAATAAACTTGTGAGGTAAATAATAACATTTCAAAGAGTAAAACAACGATCAAAAGGAGTACTGGGGGTTGGGCCGTCACATTACTTTGTTAAATTACATCTTTATAGACTATCTGTCCGAGCAAAACTGAATAAATCTTTTTAAAATAGGGTCGAAATTGATGTTTGTGCAAAACCGAATAAATCCTAAAGTGGTGTAAACAACACTTCAGCATTTACTGTAGTTTAAAAGCAGTTTGTAAGATATATTTCTTTACTTTGATTTGTTTTTCCTCTTATATTAGTGAGCGTAGTTTTGAATTTTGATTTGAGTAAAACAATAAATCAATTTTTTTTGTCATTTATACCAAACAATTTTAATGAGCACTCCCAAAACGGGTCGCTTTTTGATTTTACTAACAAAATATCTTTCATTGGTTTCCCAAAAGGCTATCGACCTAAGTCTTTCTGACCAATAGTTAACACAATTATACATTATTAACTTTTTAACTTGCAGTAATTTATTTTATTTTGTTGACCTTGTTGTGATTTAGGCGATTGTGTTTATGATCTGTGATTTAATAAATAATGGTTGATTTTAGAAATAAAAGAGATTAAAAAGTTGTAGTATTAACCCGAATTAACAAAAAACCATAAAGGTCGATTATACAGTAATAAAATATAGCATAGAAAAAATATGATATACAGTGTGTGTCCCAAAAGGTTTTATACAAATGGTATGTAAAGTCAAAACTAGTAAAATATTGAAACAAAAGTAGTAGTATCGAAACAAAAGTAGTACTCATATGAGTAAAGTATCGAAAGCAAAGTATCGGGTACTAAATTACCCGGTATCGAAAGAAAAGTATCGATACCAGTATCATATCAGTAGTATCGCAACATCCCTACTCACTTTATATTGTTTACATTTTTGATTTTAGCACGTGTCAAGCCAGAGTAAGTACCAGAAACTGTTAGAGAATAGTTACACCCTCATGGAGGGCCCCGAGGGGGCAACCAACCACCCCCACAGCCTTAAGGACCTCATAGATACTAATGATGGATGAATAAAAAGAGCCAGGGAAAAGGAGGAAAACAGACGAGCGCTGTCAGTAAACACAGTCGCAGGTCCTCTGGATCCGCCACAAGCCCTAGAAATCCGTTAACCCTTAAGCTGAAACGTATCATTCATCATCCCTACAAGCACGTAAGCACCCCCCCCCCCCAATCCAAGGGAACACAAGTCTAGCTCGTCCAGAGACAGTAGGGACTCTCAATCAAAATGTCAAAAAAGCTTGGAAAAAAAGGCACTCCAGCTCGAGCTCAAATAGAGATAAAGGGCGAGAAAACGCAAATGAGGCCGATTTGTACCACACCTCATCACACCATAGAAATTTTCAAAAATAAAAGTACCCTTCCCGATGTAGACCCAAGAGGAACACATAACAACAGCCCCGTGATGTCCGTATACTCCCGCTACAGTGATCATACCCGAAAAAAATGACGAAAATCGGCAGTTTTTTCGAAAATTTGACGGTGTATGGGTCAAACGGACCCGAGATTCGGATTCAGCGGACGAAATACATATATATACCGGTCCCGTCAAAAGTACTGACAACTTTTTTTTGTGTGCCGGTGTTATTGTTATGCTTGGACTGGCGCGAGCTTATTCCAGGGTCGGCATAAGTTTAAAATTGCATTAGAAATTATTTATATTTTTAAGAACAAGAAACCCACCCAACTGAAAAATGATCGTGGCGAACGGTATGTTAAAATGAAACTAAGTTTCCGTAAATTTAAATAATATATAATTTATGTTTCGAATTTACAACAATGTACAAACAATGAACAATAAAAAATTATAGAACATATAAAAAATATATAACCCTGGTCGAAAATCAGTACAACAATGAAACATTATTTACAATATTTACAAAAAAGTATCTACAAATTTAAATAATATAAAAAAATCATTTACAAGCTGCCTATATCGTTAAAGCGTTTTAACTTTTCTGGGAATGGATCTTTGAAGAGTACAGGGTCGGCTCTGAACTCGACCGACTTGAGAGGCATTCGTCCGAAGGCCTTCTCGAATCTGCTAATGCATTGGGAACGTTCCACCATATGTCCTAAGTCTGCGGAAAGCATTTCGTTGCTGGCGCATTCCGGGCATTTAAATTTCTTTCTCGGCGTCACCTGAAAAGAAGAGTAATTGAATTTAAGTAAAAAACAATAATCACTTAATCTAACGCCAAGGAAATCAATGTGTTAAAATTTAAATTTAACAAAACCATCATTGCAACCTTCCTCAACCCAGACAGCACACCACATCCTTTGGATATCTTCTGAACATCCCAATATCCACTGAATGTCCAGTCCATGGTGGATATCTATTTTATATCCATGAGAAGTAATTTATAGACATGCAAATGTCCATAAATAATAGTAATTATATAGCAAATTATTAAAAAATTACGCCATTGTGGCTAATAGTACCGTTCAGATATTTAAAATTAATTTTTTTAAGGTGTATTCAATATCCCATGAACATCCACTAAATATATCAAAGTCTAGACGCGAACGCAAACCATGATGGATATCCACTAGATGTAATTTTTGATTTTGCTTACTAAGTATAGATGGCGATATCACTTTCGCATCTACTCATGCTCAACCCGCCGTAATTGAGTTTGATCGAAATTTTTATCCCAATCAGACTCCATTAGAGACTGGAGTCGAAAATTTCTATTTATTGCTGAAGTTTCCTAATAAGGATGACTTTCTCCTTAGTAGGCAAAAGGTAGAGTGTTGAAAATATTTTTTATCTCTGCTATTCTTTCGACGTTATTCAATAATCATTGGTTACTTATGAACCTCTACTCATAAAATATTTTGCTGAATATCTTCTATATCCTGGGATATAGACGGACATTTGGATATCCATATTAGATCCACTGGATATATTGGATATTCACAAAATATATTCTGTGGATATTTCTGGGATTTCTTGTATTGTCTGGAGATACCCATTAGATATTTTGCTGGATAATCCATAGGATATCTTCTATATTCTGGATATAGACGGACATTTGGATATCCATATTAGATCCACGGGATAATTCTGATATCCTGTGGATATATTGGATATCCACACAAAACATATTTTGTGGATATCTCAGGGATTTGGTGTGTTGTCTGGGAAATTAGTGACGTGATTTACTTAAAATAAAAAAATTACGTCCAGAAAGAAACATTGGAAAACAAATGATTATAAAAGATGAAATAATTACACACCAAGAGCGTGTCGAGGTAAGCAGACATAAATGATGAGTTACAATAAATGACAACATAAATAAATGTGTATGGTTCCGTAGCCACAAATTAAAGTTATTACCTTGATGGGTGGTTTATTGGTGACATTAGCTACTAAAAAATTCATGGCAATATCTTCACAGTTCATGTGCTCGTCTACCCAGTCTTTTACGTCGGCTGGCATATGTTTAGTGTATAAATAACTCCAATATTTGTGTAAAAAAGCTGCGCCAGTGAGCACCATTGAAATTTCATTCATCCATTCCGATTCGTATTTCCAAGTGTTTGTTAAGTTGTCCCAAACGTGGGTCCTTGAAGGAAACCCTAAAAAAAAGAAAAAAACTTGTTAATAATTGATATAATTTACATGAGTAAAAATAAGAGCCATTGTTTTAAGGTGGTAACACTTTTCAGATATCTTGTTAGCATAAAACATAAAATTTATTGGAGATTTTTGCATTAAATTTGTTTGAGCTCTTTTACATTGAAATGGTATATTATGCCTAGAAATCATTCTAGGAACTTAAAAATCAATCTTATATAACGATTCAGAGCTATCAACTTTATTATTTGAGTTTATGTAAGTATAAAACAGAACCCTGCATCCTACGTTTTTCTAAGGAAACTATTAAATAATTTTGATTTTGTTTCCTTAGAATATAGAATATAGTATATCGTAATCCATACCGCTAATAGGATAAACTCCATCAATTTTAAATTGTAAACATTTTTAGAAACCTCTTTTGAACCTTCTCAATCAATAGCATATACTGAAAACATATGGGACTCCAAATTAATGATCCGTACTCTAATTTAGATCTAACCAAGCTAAAGTAGAAATATTTCTAAAGTTTCTCCAAATGAATCCATATGCACGGTAAGCTGAATTAACTATTTGGTTAATATGATTATTAAAAGTTAATTAGCTATCAAAAATAATTTCAAGATCCCTGATATTTTCGTACGTTCCAATGTTACATTGTTAATCGAATATGGGTAGTGTATAGGTATTGGATTTGCGTAAAAAAGTTATTATTTTACATTTATTAATATTCAAATATAATCTATTTTTGAGGCAGCAATTTTCTAAATAAATCAGCTGATTCTGTAATACCACACAATCATATAAAGTAGAAATAAAAGCGTATAATTTGAAGTAATCAGAGCGAATATTAATTGATTAGTATGAATTTCATCACACAGGTCATTAATAAATAGAAACTGAGGAACTCCACTAGCTGCTATATAGATACTTGAGCAGAATCCGTTTAAGTTAACAAATTGCTTTCTTTAGTTTAGATAAGATATAAATAATGAAAGGTACATATCATTGAAGCTTAAGCATTGTAGCTTTTTAAGAAGTATTACATGACTAATTTTGTCGAAAGCCTTGGAGAAATCAGTATACACCTCATCAACCTGACCTCTTCTATCTAATGATACACCTCGATATGGCCATATTATGGTCAGCTATAAAAAATGTATTTAGACAAAATATTTTCCCAAAAAACTGTAAAACTTTTGTCTAAAACTTTTTTTATAAAATGCATATTTTCGGCGGTATTTAACTGTAACACTTTAATTTGAACACCCGGTATACATGTATTTAAAACACATTCTGTATAGTTTACTTACCGACTATTCTATCTGGAAACTCCCTCCAAACTTCGTAAGCAAACTCCACTTCATCCGAAGTTAACATCACAATATCATCGTCGATGTGTAAGACTGCTTCCGTTTCGATTTCCTTGTAAGGATAAAATCTATTTGATAATTTGTTTGCACCGGTTCTAATAACGTTTATTGGTTTTTGGATTTTCGGAAACTCTGTCACTAAAAAAAATTATGATTTAGGGTATTATAATATTTGTTTAAATAATTATGTTTAATCCATAAATATGATTGTCTGTTAACAATTTAAAATGATTGGTATTATTTTTAATATCCAGATGTTAGGGCGAGTGTACGAACTTGTAAATACGTGTCATCTGAATAAATAATATTATAAATATTTCAACCTTTTTAAATCTCTATCAACACTGTTCTGTTGTTGAGGATTTTTTCCCAACTGAAACCTAATTCCTTTACTACTTTCTTCAAACCGTACTTCAGCATCTTATCAATTACGCAAAATCATTTATAATTTTCTAATTCTTTCTCCCTGTCCTTGTGAAATTATACTTTTTGTTTGTGTTGGAAATACACCTAACATATTGTACGAATTCTTAAAGCTAGTCCGGTCCCGGAGGGCCGAAATAATTTATCAAGTAATCATTTAACAATTCACTATTCAACAATAATGTACGAATCAAAGACATTAATAAGGCCAACCCTGTATAATCAATTTCAGTTAAAGGATCAAAGAATTATACATATCGATATAGCACTCTCTCACTACCCCTGTAAAGGCAAGAAACAAAAAAGATAATTACAATTATTTTAACCACTCAAAAAGCGACACACTGAACAGTTCTGAAATAACGTGCCAAGATCCTTAAGAGACAATAGGTGGAACACGAGGGTATAAAAAGGGGACGCTATTTTTCTACTAGGCAAATTACTGCATAACTTGCAACTATGCACTGTCATTTAATTCGCTTCCGGCACCAGTCGGCCTTTCATAAACACTGCGTTTGACGGGGTTTGTCGTTTACCACTTCTCCAACTACCAAAGTACTGTTCAACTTCTAACTATGCTCTATATTCGAATTTTTCGTTTGTGGATTTACTGAAACGATTATTTTATAGGAGAGATATATGCAACCAGACATACAGAGATATGTTTTAATGGTTGCCACACATATTCCTGTAGTTGTAACTCTAACAAGCGCTGTAAGTTTTTTGGATAAAAATGACTTTTAATAGTAAAAAAGAAAGATTTGTTGGATATACTGCGGGAACCTATCATAGTCGAAAGCAGTATCTGCTGCTGCAATGATTGCACTCGCAGTTGAAACGGGGTAGTCGCGGTCAAATGGTTAAAGCGAACAAAAAAGTATACTTACTTGGAGGTGGATTCTTTTTTTGATTATTCCATACGACTATGACTTTCATTAAACTAGGAACTTTTGATAATCTATCTATAAGAGTGAATAAACTGTCTACTCTATCATAAGTTAAAATGACAGCAGAAAAACCGTGAGATTTCGGTGACGTCATCGGAAAAAATAACGGATTGTTGTTTACCTGGAATAAATAATAATCAATAAACAAAACTACTAATATCAAAAACTTTTGATAGGCTCGCTAAACAGCAGGCCAGTAACGTAAATTATTTTTTCTTTCAGTTAGAAACTCGGAAACAATTCTATAAACTTACTTCTTCGGGCATTAAATTAATTTCGTCGTACGTCCTGCTCAAATGCGGATACACCCTCTCTTGTAAAATATCCAAAGTAGTTAAAACGATCCTCCTCATGCTAGCAAAATACGATCGATAGACGTACAAAAGTGTCTTCTGCATATGTTTGATTCGCTTCTCCGAGACGCTGTTGACTACGTCCATGAGAGTATCGACGTGGCTCTCCATGATGAAAATGGAAAACCGCTTCCAATCGATTATGGTATGGAACGGCATAACGTGACCGTCCGAAATTATCACAGGTATGCAATTGGCCGCCATGGCTTCCAGAAGAACGAATTGGCCCATTCTACCAGAAAACAAAATCATAGAACTAAATCGATATTTGAAAGAAACAGACAAATAGGTAGAGGAAGCAGATATATCAGTAGTGACTAAACTTTAGACTGAAATTTATTAATTAATAAAAAAATTGTTACCTTTCGCCGCGAAATACGAGACAAAAAACTGACTCCTTAAGGACCTGTGGATAGTTAAAGGTCCTTCCGGTTTCGATATCGCATCGTTGAGTATATTCGTGTCTATGGCAAGCGTCGAGTATTAACAGGTAATCGTGATGATGGTAACGCATTTTTTGAAGTTCGGTGAGAAAAAATGGATCTACGTTTAGTTGAGAGGAGGTTACTAGCCAAGATCTGGAAAAAATCAATAAAAAGTGTTGTAAAATCGGGTCAATAAAATGAAATCTGGAATTAAGTGATCCCAATCGGTTTAACACCATCACTTTCTGGATATTCTCTAACATGGTACCAATTTACAACAACGGTGGCAAGTTTGATATAAAAAAACTACATACTCTAATGCAGTGGCGGCTCGTTACCAAAATATTGGGGGTTCACAACAACAAATCTCAATACAGATTTAGGTAAAAAACTTTTAATGTTTATAATATAGCTTTCTAAAATCTGTCATTGTGAACCCCCAATATTTTGGTTACAATCCGCCACTGCTATGGTGGAATTTCACTAATGTCTACAAGACCTACATATTTGAATCTATCCTGACTGATGAACATCAAGTTGATGTTATCTAATCTATACAAACTTGTCTAAATAATTTTCTGAAGATAGAGCCTAAATTATTGTTTAATATAGTTTTTGATTTTTACTTTCCTATCTGTATACAGATATAAGGAAAGTATAGGAATCATGATTTTTTTCGACCTCGAGTTTTCGACGGATTTTTACGTTTTGAGGACCCCTGAATCCGTTTTGACCATTTTCGCGATAATGTCTGTGTGTGTGCCTGTGTGTCTGTATCCACCATAACTCATGAACCGATACACAGAAAAACACCAAATTTTAAACTTAAGCTTTATTCCAGCTTCCAATGAACTGATTAGATTTTGGGCAGAGTCGGAACATCCGGAGGGGTACTTTATAGGTGGTCATTTTTATATTTTATGGAATATATCTGTTATTTACGTTTGGAGAAGAAAATTCTTCAAATAAAAGTTACTTTTAATATTATTATCTATAATTGTTCTATACAAAATTTCTCTAAAAGGGACCGTATTCGAGATATTTGAGAAAATGTATAAATTTCGAATTTTGAAGAAAACTCAAAAATGGATAAAGAAAAAACATTAAATTTTTATTTCGGCCTGACGTGAAATAATTAGATTTTGGACAAAGTCGGAACATCTGGGGGGGTACTTTATGGAAGGCCGTTTTTATATTTTATGGAATATATCTGTTATTTATGTTTGGAGAAGAAAATGGTTCAAATAAAAGTTACTTCTAATATTATTATCTATAATTTTTGTTTTATGTCAAAATTTACTAAAATGGTCCGTATTCGAGAAATTTGACAAAATGTGCAAAATTCTGATATTTATGAAAATTGTTGAACTAAAAGTTGTTTGCGATATCGATCTCTATAATTTTTGTTTATACATGATTTTTCTAAAATGGACCGTAATGGAAAAATTGTAGGAAAAGTGCTAAATTTAAATTTTTCCGTATTTTCGTTTTCAATGAATATTTATAGAAAAATGTTTCGAGGTAGGTGTATGTGGAAAATGTATATATTTAGTTTATCCTCTTAACATTTATAGAGGTGCTGCAATAGGTTGTACAAAATAACCGGAAAAAGCCTATAATAACTAGATAGGAAAGTCATGTGTTGAACACATCAGATTTTTAATATAAAAAATAAGTTTTTAACAGTGACGTAACAAGACAGTGGACAGTCAAGAACATAGATTTCAAAAACTACTCGCTTTTCAACCACTCACTTTTGAAAACGGTTCATTTTTTTAGCGATTGTCGAGGATAGTCGCCCTGGTTCCAAATCTTAAATCCGGAGCCATCCCCTCTCTATGATAAGTATATAATATAAATCTAAAAATTGTAAGATTTATAATAAAATACGCAAATTTATTTTCATGTAATAGCTATTTATGAAACCAGTTAGGAAATGCCTTATTTTATGTAACGAGTGAATAATAGCGGGACGAGCAGAGCGAGGTCCCGCAACATGAACGAGTAACATAAAATGGTATTTCGTAACGTGTTATATGCAATTTTTAATTTTGACTATATTATTTATAAAATCTAGGCAACATCTAGACAACCAATATTACTGCTTTCTTGTATTGTTAATTGCATATAATTAACTTCATTCTCTTATTGACAAATAGAAAAATCATATTCAATTTTTCCCAACGACTTATTGTAGTTTGTTTATATTGCTTGTTAAAGTTATTTAAATTTCATGAAAGTGGGTTATTTTGTCGTGTATTTCGTTTTAATCATTTTGTACTGATTTAGAATAGAAAATAAGGACCAAAACAAAATTATTACTAGGTTGTAAGTTTAACCAAGTCAACTTTGCTCTTTAATAAAACTTTCAATAAAAATGTATATATTGACTAGAAAACAAAAAAAAAGATTTATTTTTATTTGTTTTCTTTTCGCAACTAGCGACATAATGAATTTTTCGTAACCAGTTTCATAATGTTCAACATTGCGTAACTGGTTGCGTAAGGTAGATCATTTTGACACTTGCTGCGATTACAAAAAAAATATCACTTTATATGTCAAAATTAGCAAAAATATATTGTTCTTATGTTACTATACATTATTTATACGGGGTGGATCTAAAGAGAGTAATTAAAAAGGATCACACTTTACAAACGTAACTGTTTTTTATCTAACTAAAGTCAAAACTAATACTATGAACAGTACAATTGCTGAATTTTCCATAAAATTGCCTTTTCAATGATGTGCAAATATGAGACATTTCCTATTTAAAAATAAGAGGTGGTAGGGGGTTATATATGAAAGACGTCTTTATCAAAAAAATTTAACTTCTAACCAATGCTCATATTTTATTTTCTATTTTGAATTAAATAAAAAAATTCAAGGGGTTGTTCCTTGGACTATTCTAAGAATATTTAGTCCTTTGATGATTTTTGAAAACCCGTTTTGTTAAGGAGATACAGGGCGAACAAAATTTTAGACAATAACATCATTTTTTTACCAAAAAAATACATGTAAATGTTACTTAAGAATTGTTGAAAATGACTACCTCTGGCAAGAATTCAAACATCCAATCTTCTCCTCATTGACTGCCGAACTCTTTCAAAAACACCATGCTCAAAAACACATTTTCTACTGGAGTAGTATACACTAACGACTTTAGATGGCCCCATAGGAAATAATCTAAGAAGTTTAAGTCCGGGGAACGAGCGAGCCACAAATGAGGTCCTCCTCGACCAATCCAGCGATCTTCGTATCTTAGTGTGAGAAACTCACGAGCAACCAAACTGAAAGGCGCTGGTGCACCATCGTGCATAACCATATTGCATTTCTTATTACTAATGGTACATTATCCAAAAAAACAGGTAGAGTTTGTTCTAAAAAGTTGCGATACACTTCACTGGTAAGTCTTGCTGGTAGAAATACCGGCCCTATGAGCCAGTCACCCACACTTCCAATTCAAACATTCAACGAGAACTGATGTTGAAAACGATCTTCAATTACCTCATGTGGATTTTCGTCAGCCCATACATGGTTATTGTGAAAATGCCTTAGTGCATTTCTTGAGAAATTCGCTTCATCGGTATAAAGAATAAGTGTCAGTAGCTGAAGAATTTGAACTAATGTGTACAAAAACCATTGACAAAATGCAATACGTGGAAGAAAATCAGCAGGAAGAAGTGCCCGAACGCGTTGTATATGGTATGGGAATAAGAATTTTCCAAACAGTCGAATAATTCACATTCTAAGTATTTGCAATTTTTCGAGTAGAAGTACTCAGATCTTCCTCGATCATGTCTAGCACATTTTTTCCACTTCCACCGTTCTTGATGTATTTGGCCTTCCTGGCCCTCCACTTCGTCTCAATGCGCCTGTGTCATGAAGAGGTTGATGAATATTTTGGAACAATTTTCTCAGGAAGATTACGGTCAGGAAATCACAATGTACAACCTCCTAACTTCTAATGAATTTCCATCAGCAAGACCATAAATGTAATGCATTTCAGTCATCTCGGCGTTTGTATAATTCATGATAAAGTCAGTAACAAAATTTTAACTACCAAATGATCAATCACTAGACGAATTCAAATGAAATCCAGATTTAATCTGTATTTCTTTACGATGTCTGAACTTTTGCCTGTTTTAAGTGGAAAAAATAGCCGTTTTTAGTAATTGGAATGTTGTTAAAAAATAATAAAAACGAATTTTTAAAAAAGTTGTATATTTAAACTATTAATTATTTTAAAAATAATAAAAATAGTTTTCTAGGGGGGTGGGTGGCTCAGTGGTAGAGTCTCTGCCTGTGAATCCAAGGGTCCCAGGTTCGAATCCCACCGTTGGCCGGGATTTTTTTATTTAATTTAATTATTTAAAATTAATTCTGATGCCTTGGTAGGATTCCCCACTCGACCATTCACTGTTGGGTTCTAATTAACAGTGCTGTTCCTAAAGTGGCGCAAGGAAACAGTAACAAGGCCTGACTGTAGGGGTGTAGGAGTATTAGAGTACTAATACTCCTGCACTATGGAGTATTAGACTACTAATACAATCCATAACCTACATAGAACACTAGGCTAATGACCTTAGATGTTGAAGCCGTACACCAAAAAAAAAAAAAATAGTTTTTGTCTAAACGAAACGGAATTTTAAAAATCATCAAAAAACAAAATATTCTTAGAATAGTCCAAGGAACAACCCCTTGAATTTTTGGCCGCATGTTTAAAACACACACTGTATACTACTGGGTAATGGTGATGTGCATAAAGTTTAGTATGCACTCAGAAGTAGCTACTCCATATTGTAGCGAGTTCTATCAATGAGGATGTACGTTTTGGTATGCATATATGACGAAAAAAGAAGGTTCCATTCGGAGTTTTAAAGTGACTACTCGGGTTCAGATGTTTTGAAATCAATTCAAAATAGCCAAAACGGATTCAAGAGACCGCAAAACGTAAAAATCCGTCAAAAACTCGAGGTCGAAAAAAAATCATGATTCCTATACTTTCCTTATCTGTATACAGACAGGAAAGTAAATTTAATTTATTTATTCTATAAGTCTGAATTCTGAATCATTATCGGTTTATTTATTACAATCATCTTATTATACATTAAAAATAAATCGGATGATAAATAGTTGATATTGAATCTTCTCCGTATTTTATTACACAAACTATTTTATCTAATTCTTGATAAGTACATACCGCTAAATTTGTTATTTCTACGTTAAAAACGAAAAGGCGGCATTTAAGTCAATTACACTTTCAACCCATTAGCTAATTATTTAAATCAATTAAAATTACGTTAGATAAACAAATGCCACGTTTATGCAAGTGTGTAATAATATATTATCATTCTACACAATTTTTTTTGTGTTATAAAATTGCATAAATGTTTTGTTTGTGTTCCATTAACATCAATTTTATTTGTAGATAAAAAAAATGAGAAAACAACTTTAATTTTTTTTAATAGAATAATATATCATTCTCAAGTTTTATAACTACCTCATATCCATGGACGAATCTCAAAACTGATCATCGCAAGTTAATTATAATTTTTATACTTTATTCTCATCTGGAATTAGAGGCAATCAAAATAAATGGTTTGAAACATATCTTACAAATAGACCCCAAATGGTTAAAAGTAACAACTCAGGAAAACAGTGTTTCTCTCAAGAAATAATAAATAATATAGGAGTGCCCCAAGGGTCAGTGTTAGCTCCCATACTTTTCACAATTTATGTAAATGAACTTCCAGAATTACTTTACCATGCATTCACAATTCTCTATGCAGATGATTCGACTTTCTTGTTTTCTGATCCCATTGAAGAACAATTGAAAAATAAAATCGATAGGTCAATTAAAATATTCTCGGAATGGGCTAGTAATCTCTCATTATTATTTAATATTACAAAAACTAACTACATTTATTTCCATACATACCAAAATTCTAATATACCTTGTCTAGATATGTCTGTAAACAACACACACATAAATACAGTTGATTCCACAAAATTTCTAGGAATAACATTCGATGAAAATCTATCGTTTAAAACTCACTGTCAAAATTTAGCGACAACCTTAAACTCACAATGTTTTCAACTTCGTAACCTTAAATGCATTTTAAAACCTCACCATCTTCGTCAAATTTACTTCGCAAATGTACATTCTAGGTTGATTTATGGTATCTGTGTATGGGGCGGATCATCCCATGCTAATGAAGTATTTATATCTCAGAAGAGAATTATAAGATGCTTGGCTGGTATTCTACCAACAGATTCCTGTCGCCCTCTATTTAAAAAACTTAAAATCCTTACCGTATTCGGAGTATATATTTTAGAACTTTTAATATACATATATAAAAACAAATCGAATTTTAAACGTAATAGCGACTTTCATTCATATAGCACCAGGAACAAAGATGAACTTGTTCCTCTGTTAGCACAGCTAAATATTTGTGCTAAGTCACCAACAATTCTTGGAATAAAATTATTCAATAAACTGCCACAGAGCATAAAAAATGAATCAACATTAAAAACATTTAATTATCGAATAAAACAACAGATTTTAGAAATATGTCCATATTCAGTGCAAGAATATTTTCAATATAAATTTGTACCACATGCTTCACCACCAAACTGTTCTAGATAAATTTATACAAATGCCCCTTTTCGCCTACCATTCTACGTTTGTCTCTTCTATATTTGTCTGTATTGTTTTGTTTAATTACTTTTATTTATTGTATACACCTTTATATTTATAATTCTGACGTGTCCAATAACATTATAACTGTTTAAATGGATTAATAAAGAATAAATAAAAAAAAAAATAAAATATAAAAGGTACTCAAAACAAATGCAAAATTTTAAAAGATAAGGGAAACAGGAAAATAATCAATTTTTTCTATATTTTTCCTCGATTTTTTCGGTACATATCTTGTAGGGTCCGATTACAATAAGAAGAACACCGCTACGTCATCAATTGGCGGGGAAATTGGTTGGCTATCACCTCCTACTGGGGGTTTAATGGCGTATTAATTTGATAGGAATAAAGGAATGATATTTTTAAACAAAACAACTCACATATTCTTTATTTATTGATAGTTATAGATGACATATATTTGAAATTTGAGATAATAGTTATGACAGCGATGCTCTTCTTATTGTAATCGGATTCTGCCCTGTAAATAATAATGTACGTTATAGATTGTACTGGAAATATTGTTTAAAAATATCTAGGTGTCCCCAGATGTTATTCTTCATAAAAGTTTCGGCTTATTTCGAAACTAATAATAATCCAAACAGAAGTTGAATATCTCTTTGCTTTAGTGAAATAAGGACAAACATGTAAAACAAAACAAAATGTTTTGTCATTATTTTACTAAATCAAAGCCTAATTAACATAAAAGATATCAAATCGTTTCGGTTTCGTTTTTTCTACGAAGCCTTAGTTCCTGAGGCCTGGGGTACACACTGATACTAATATTGCAACTTTATTGGGTAAGGCTACTTTATATGGTTCTTTTAAAGTAACTGTAACACACCGATATCATTTATTGGAAATGTAAATACCCAAAGTTAAAGTAACATTTGCATAGTTACTGAAACTGGGCAGTATCTATAGTGGCAAAAACTATATAGTACCAGTGAATCAGTTATTGCCATCAGTGCCACTAATATATCTAAATAAAGTAACTGCGTACATAGAAAGGTAAAAAGGTCCCACAATAGTCAAAGTAACATATTATGGATAGTTATTGGAACGGCAGTATCATTTTATTGTTACTTTATAGTGGTAAAAACTATACAGATTCAGTGAATCAATTTCTGCTACCTATCAGTGCACTAATATGCCTAAATAAAATAACTAAATAATGCATAGATAGGCAAAAAGATCCCAGAATAGTTCCAGTTGCCATTACTTGGAACTTGAAAGTATCGTGGCATTTTAGAGGCAAAATGGTAACGAAATAGTTCCAGTTAGTACTATTTTGCCACTATCTAATTTTGATTTAAAGCCACTATAGAGCTTTAGGAACTTTATGATGAAGGGCTTAAATTTTATAGTATAGTACCTTTATTAGAAACAGCCATTATTAGTAAAAATTAGCTAAAATATATTATCATAAACTTTTACGAAAAACGATTGTGAAAGTAATCCAAATGTTTCTCTAATATTTAAATTTTTTAATCGTGCCTTTTTAAATTATTTTGTCAAAAAAGGTTATTTTGAAATGTCAAATTATATAAATTGTCTTTGAAAAAATGGTTAAATAAGTACTTTAAACACGCCCCTAAAGTACACATCTTTTAAATTATTTATTGTTTCGGCCTTTACTTGATGAAAATCCATTTAATTTTGAAAGAGTAAAACCAAATTTGGTAGATTTTCACACAAAAGTGTGAAAATCTACCAAATTTGGTTTTACTCTTTCAAAAATACACATCTTTTGTATAATATATCACTGCGCCATTATTATTCAGTCCATCCCGATATAATCAATCCATTGTACTTTATTAAGAAGTGCCGGTTTTTTAAAAATGGCCTACAACATATCAAAAATTTTAATAGAGTAGCATTTCTGTAAAAGGAAGAGGTTTGGTTTCTTTTTGAACATACCTCGTAGGTACATTACGTATTTACAATACCAATTTTCGCGTCAGTAACATCTTGAGTTATTGACGTACATCTTAAATAAATTACATTTGGCTTGCAAATAAAGTTATTAGTTATCTTATTTATATAACGCTAACAGAAAATCATTTTCTGACCTTTGTTGCGAGTTGTCTTCAACCACTCCTAATCTAGCTGCGGGACTGAACACCGGTATCGAGACGTCGAACTTTTCTCTAAAGGTGTAGGTGTCGAAACCAGCTCCGGCTATCATTGCATTGCCCACATCTAATTCGATCACTTGTGAGAAGTCCGGAGAGTTACCAGAAATCATGTTGAAAATAAGATGGTTTTCGCCTCCTCTCCAACTGAGAAACAAAAATAAAAACTATGTAGAAGACTTTTCGAAAATCGATGTGGTTTTTCAAAATATGAAATGAGATTAAAAAGTCTTCACGCTCACCAAATACCGACGCGATATGCATTCTGTTCGTGCGCAGAGAAATCATTGAAAAATTATTAGTAAAGGAAGAATTGTATTTTACTTGGGAATTTTTTTAAATAATTTGAGGAGCTGGCGGGAAAACGACGAGGTTGCAAATTTTACGAAAATTGAGATACATGGCGCAATCTATAGGTTTTTGTATGGACTATTACGCCTAGTAAACATTTAAAGTACCATTTCGGAACGCGCGACAGACGACATACGACAGCAGAAGCGACCAAGAACGGCCTCTTCACGTCTGAACACATGTAATTATATGAAACACATTTCGCAAGGCGCGACCAGTGCGAGAGACAGAAGTCGACGATACAAAGATCGGTCTCGGGGTAGTGATTGCTGCCTGTCGCGCTCAGTTCTTACTCCTCAGTCATCGCTTGTATTTCGAGGTGATTAGTCGATATTTTATAGAAATGGTAGTTGCAAAGTTCTTTCGATCTACCCTAGGCAGTGTTTCCAGATGAAAATTTGCTGGAACAGTGCGGGTGAAAAAAAAAGGAGTTCTGAACAGTAGATTTTAATACAGGGGAAAAGTAACTAAAAAAAAAAAAAAACAAATATATAAGAAACGAAAAATAAACATTTTTCTACCCAAATTAGAAAATAAACAAAAAATAAAAACAAATAATAACATTTTTAATATATATGTGACGATAGTCTAATTTATTTTTAGTTTATTTATTTAAAAACAAACTATTTACAATTTATTTCAGACGTACTATTTAATTTATATAATACTTACACACTAACTAACAATTCTAATTTATTTCTTACACTTTAACACTTCAATACAACGTTCTATATTAAAACTGTCTATAATCAACTGAACTGGGCGCCGATACGTCGGCTATTTATATTAATCCAACTCCGCTACTGGAAGATACGAGAGGCTCTCGAACATTCCATTTGTATGACTAAACGGCACTCCCCGCCGTTCCAGCTGTTTCTAGTACATCAGCGGCAGGCATTCCGTCGTATTCTTGTATATTCGAAACGCGGGCCGGCTGTTTCCACACGTCAGCGTTGCTTCGATCACGAGTAGGTTGCCATGTGAAGGTTGCGTGCGTACACAGGGTCGGATTAAGAATTTCATGACATATACTTAACGTCCGGAAATAAAAAAACCAATGAAAAATAATAGGTATTTCTTTTAGATCAGTCTGAATCAAATAATTCAAATACGTTGTGTTTGGCATGCATGTTCTTTTTATGATACCTTGTTAATTCTTTGTTGCATTTTAAATAAAAACATAATGATTATCTTGAGGTTTTTTTATGGGGCAAACCTACAGTAGTGGAGCTTATTACTTCAACAAATTTACTAGAGAAAATATTCTTTGACCATTTGCTGAAGAATGAAGTAAACTTAATAAATTAAGAACAAAATTTGTTAAGTTGGCGAAAACAGTAGATTTCATGCCTAAAACAGGAGAACAGAGACAAAAATAAAGGATCTACTTTAAAACAGTAGGTCTGGCAACACTGATCGTTCACTTTAATTGTCGTCTGCGGTTGTCGCGTCGCCCGTCTCCTTGCTTCCAAAATGTGTGAAACGTAACGTAAATGCATCGGTCTCCCTTGTCGTCGCTTCTGTTGTCGTCTGTCGCGCGTTCCGAAATGGTACCTTTACGGAAATATTGATAAGAGTCGCCATATATAGCTAAAAATATTTTAGTCAGTTGCGGAAAAAACGATGAGCTTACCTGGCGTTTGATTGTTTATAGCTGAAACCGTAAATACTAAAATGGAAAAACAAACATTTGTTTTTATGACATTCTGTCCTCTTTCAATAATATCCAAAAATTATCAGAAATATTTTTTGTTAATGATTTAAATAAAAAAACTTTGTGCCTATTTTTGCTGGTAACTACGGAAACATTAGACCGTAAATACTAAGTTCAGAATATATTTTTTTTACACTTTCCATGAAACTGACCAAAATTTAAATATCAAAAGAGAAATAATTTCTTTTTGTACCAATACTCTTGTTAATTATTTAAACATGATACTACACTGCTGTAAGTACTAAGTTAAGATTATATTTACACCTTCCATGAGACAGTGCTCAAAAGTTAAAAATTAAATTTTTTCAAATTCAAAGTTTTTGCACATTCATCGTTCTTCCAGCCAGCTTATCATTTGCTTTATATAGGTAAATACATACTAAGTCTAAGTATTAGTAAGTATATTAGTTTATACATATTCAAAAGTACTCTTTCAACAAGAATATAATATTTTACAAATAAAGCAACTAAACATTTAAATAAAATTCTAATACGATAAAAAATCATCTTTATACTTGTATGAATTATACAATTCGACATAATATATGATACAGGAAAGATAATGCTAACAAATAAGAAGCAAAAACCTATTAAACCTATACCATTCTCATAGGCTCTAAATCGTGATCACCATTATCTGTTATAAACATTTTATAGAATCCTTATTTATCAAAATTGGAAATTCTTCGGATACCTATTCTAAATTCTAGATAAAATATTGCAACAATAAGTAATAAAAATTACAGTAAGCATAAGGTTAACTACCTATTTATATTTTAAGACGGAATTTGCACGCCATCATTTTCATAATAAAAACTATTAATTAACTAAGTTCGCGATAGATGGCGATTAGATACATTTCTGCGTAATAATTCAAATGTTCAATTATCCTCAGAAAACACTTGCGTTTTTGCCACATTTTTTAGCTCGTATTATTTTGTACGCCGTCAGTAGACTAATGGGTCGATTCTGAGACAATCTATAAGATCTATAAGCCAAAATCTGTAAAAAAATACATTACATTATTATATCTGTAGCTTATAGGATATTTCCCAGAATCCTACCATAACCCAGATAGCACAGGATTACTCTGTTGCAGTAAAACTTTCTTTGCTCAGTGGATTGCCAAGAGAAAAATAAAAATAATGAAGACAAAGATAAAGATCTTAGTGAAGAAATTGCTAATCTAAAAAAATCAATTAGTGATAAAGATAATCATATAAAAAGACTAAAAAAGGGATCTGCATGTTATGAGAGTTTAGTGTTAGATGCAGAATTTAAATTTGTGGAAAAATTAAATTTTCAAGGAAATACAACCGAATCTCTTAAAGAAGAAAATAATAATTTGAGTGAAAAAAATGCTGAACTGCAAAATGACATTGAAATAAAATGTAATAATACAATTAGTAAGTTAAGAAATGACTGAGGAACAGTTAAATCTGAATAAAGATATTATAGAAACAATCAGAATGTTTGAAATGGAAAATGAGATACTTAAAAATGATTTATTTACAAATAAAACAAAAAATGAAAATACTGAAGACAAATAACAAATTTAAATAAAGAAATTGCAGAATAGAAAAATCAAATTGTGAAACTAGAAAAACAAAATAATAAAATAGCTGAAGAGCTTCAGAGCATTAAGTCTGAACTAAAAAATTTAGGGACTAAGAGCAGCATAACAAAGGAAGCCTTGGGAGGATTACTGGATAAAAACAAGACTGGTGAAGAAGAAGTTAACAAAATTATTCATAATATAAATACTTCTACAAATGCAACACCAAAAATACTAATTTTGACTGATGAACATCGAAAGGGAATCGGCATGGAACTAAGAAAACAGTTTAATTTTGCAAATTATAAACCTGAAGCAACTTTAGGCCAAAGAAAATATTGAGACGTTGGTAAAAGACTTTAATTTTAAGGATTATGTTATTCTCATGGGCGGCACATATGATTTTCTGACAAATATCCAAGTATAAGATTCTTAAATTTTAAATTAAAGCAATGTACAAATCCCAATTTAATATTACTTTCGAAGTAAAAAAAAAAAAAAAATAAAAATTATAACCTGTATTTAAATTTAATTCAAAACTGTGCAGTTATATTAATTCTTTCAACCAGTATTGGAGCCAAAATGTCTTCTACTTGGATATCTATAACAAAGGGGGTATACAATGAACAAATATTAGATAAGAAATGAATCGAGAGTATTTAAAGTGTGTAAAATTGAGTTTTATTCAATAAAACTCTGTAAAAATTTCGGCCTATTAGGCCAACACCAAAGACTTCGTCAAAAACTATAGAAGAAACATGAAAAGTGAACTAAATTAAAAAGGACAGCAACAGACCAGTCCCAAGTCTCCACCATAGCTTGCAGCTTCAACATGAAGGCAGCCAGATTTTGCCAATGTTTATTTAGTTCACTTCATGTTTCTTCTATAGTTTTTGACGAAGTCTCTGATGATGGCCTAATAGGCCGAAAGCGCTTAGACAAATTTTTACAGAGTTTTATTGAATAAAACTCAATTTTACACACTTTAAATACTCTCGATTCATTTCTTATTACCCAGTGTGTACACACCACTCAACCTCTTCAAATATAAGATAGCTCTTTCCATAAAGAATACAAATAGACTGTCCATTTATTGAACGTCAAAATTTAATTTATATTAAACCTAATAAAGCAGAAGTTTTTAGAATAAATGAAATAGATACATATGATGTTGAAAAGAGTCCCACGTCACCTATGGTCACGCTTAACGGTTAGGGGGTGGTAATGATTCTTTTTTATGTGATTAGGGGTCGTCGCTTGGCTCCGTAAAATGGACGTTGTAAGGATGTGTTGAATATTTTTTAGAACGGGGAAGTGCAGATTCTACTTATGTTAAGCTGCTGCTATCTAGTGTCCGTATTTAAATAATTTCGTGGTTAAATTAACACCTTATGTATCCGTTTTTTTCTGGTACAACCCCCTGTGATTGTTCTCTGTAAGGGTGTACGTAGGGCTGATTCAGTCATTCCCCTACCAAAAAAGTGGCAATAGTAATCTCTTCATCCATTGTTATACATCGGGGTAGTC